CCCTTTCCTCCCCTCAGCGGTTTAAGGGCACGGACGGCGCGGAGAAGGCAGCCGAGAAGGCGAAGCCCGCTAAGGCAGAGGAGGCTAAGGGGAAAGCGGCGAAGCCCGAGGAGGCCGTGGAGGAGGTCAGTGCAGCACTCCTGCCATGGCGTGGGGCTGCCAAATTAACCAGGTCTTCAGAAACCTGGTTACAGCAAGAAGTCTGGTGTTTATAGGATGCCTTAACCTTATGCAGCTTCTGTAACTTGAATTACTGATCGACCCTGTGCATCTCTCCCAAAGCGTGTTTTTGCTGAAAACTGCACCTATGCTGCTATGTTTTCCCCAGATATTACAGCACTGCAGTAACACGTGAACACTCTAAAATGTGCCCTTCACTAACTCTGCATGCGTTCATTCAGTGCCTTGAGCTTATTGGTTGTTGGTCTTGAATGTCTGTGACTAGTTAATGCAGCAGTCATAACTCTGGTTTTATAAACTTAGGGGCCACCAAAGTATACAAAATCAATTTTAAAGAAGGGTGATAAAACCAACTTTCCGAAGAAAGGAGACACTGTTCATTGCTGGTATACAGGAAAACTACAGGATGGAACAGTCTTCGATACCAATATTCAAACAAGTAAGGTCATATCTATATATTATTTGGCTTTGGTTGCAAATGCATGTAGAGGAAATTAGCTGGAATCGTTAGGCAGCCTTGGGCAAACGTCTGTTTCTGGACCGTGTGCGTAGTGGGAGGCCTGACCAGCTGCTTTTGCCACCATGTTGTTGAGCTGGCTGGGGTGTCCCTGCAGTCTGCTCCTGGAGCCTGATCTTCCCTGAGGGAATGCAGGGCTGTATTTTAGGACTGGCTGGTGTCAAGTGACACAGCTGCATCTTGCCAGACCTTACCTTTGGCGTTCTCTAGGCCACAGAAAATGAGAAATGTGGGGATACTTGAAACTACTTTGGAGGAAAGACAGTTCCTGCTTGGGGAGCTTCGCTTATCTATGGAACTTAAGCACCAACAGTGGAGTCAGCTTCTCTAAATAGACATGTCTTGGTGTGGTTCTGCAATAAACTCTTAAACTCGGAGGCAGTGGAATGACAGTGATTTCAAGTAGTCTGGTGTACTGTATCCACTGCGGAGAAGTATGCTGGTATTTTTATGACAGTTTCTCGATTAGAGGATGTAGGTATATGAAACTGAAATTCTAGAAATGCTTTTCCAGCAGTGATGTCCGACACTGAGAGGGACAGCAGGGCTGTTGTTGGAATACTGTCTGTAATTCATCGTACTTGTTGTATGAGGTTGTACGTTCCCTGTTGAACTAATGTATTTATGACTTGTACCGTCAACTTTTAGTAATTCAGAAATGAGTCTGTTAGGTTCAGTGGAGCAGTATCTGAAAGATGCTCATCAACTTTAGCTCTTGATGCAACTTGAGCATTTAATAATGTTTTTAGTGCACAGCACTAAGTTTTCCCCTAAAAATCTGACACTGGGCTAAAAATAATATTGTAGGAACAGGTATTTGTATCAAGCATGATCATAATAGTAATTTTAGAAGGAAGTACAGTGTGTGCTGGTGTGGTGTTAAAGCAAATGAACATAAAACTGTCTTTCAGGTTCAAAGAAGAAAAAAGCAGCTAAACCTTTAAGTTTCAAAGTTGGCGTAGGAAAAGTTATCAGAGGTGTAAGTAAACCATTAATGACTCCCTCAAAATCCAAAAAGTTTTCAGTCTGCAGGATTTATGACCGGGGTGCAAATTTTGAGTTGCTGTTCTTGTTTCTTGTGGAGGTAAAATGGCAAGTTGAAAGTGTTTGCCTCCACAGGATGTAGTATTTATTCTTTATGGATTCATTCATCCATCTGT